CCACTATAATTATGAATTATGTATTGTACATGAAGAGAATTTATCTTATAAGAAATAACCTTATGGTCTTCAAACAATTTTATCACCCACTATGCAAGTTGACCATTTTTTTTACCCACTATAATTATGAATTATGTATTGTACATGAAGAGAATTTATCTTATAAGAAATAACCTTATGGTCTTGAAACAATTTTATCACCCATTAGGCAAGTTGTCCATTTTTTTATCCACTATAATTATCATTTTTCTAATGTCAATACTTTCTTGAAACAGTAAATTGTCATTATAATCCTTATGTTCTATGAAATCCTTATTTTAGTGTGCAGTAACTACACACCAGAGTGTCTAGTGTTACTGTGTTATAAGGGAACATACATACATTCACAGATGAAACACATGTATGTGTGTGCATGTGTATAGTATGTGTATTTATGCATTGATATATATATATTTTTGTTTACCATTTCATCTTCATGTGATTCATGTCTGTCAATAGAGTAATTTACTGTATTTTAAACAAGCATTGTGGTTTATTCAGTAATCAAGTTGCTCATGAGTCTAGATTTTTTTAAATAAATAAACTTAGTATTCCTAAAATTGTTTAATCTCAAAGTCTAAGTTCAAGGGAAGTCCAGTTCAATCTACACTTTGCTCAATGTGTATTATTGGGTTGTACTAGTTTCAGAGAATTCCACTTTTCATCAGTCACTCTGAACACAAGTTAACCAAACAGAGATAAGCCAGACCTATATCACAGTGAAAAGTATGAAACATATTGTTGGTGTGAACATGCTTTGTAGTCACTATGAGAAAAACCTATACACTGGATAGGTGAAGTGAAGAAAGTGTCATTGGCCGATGACACTTTTTCTTCCATTCACTATCCAGTGTATAGGTTCTTCTTATATATAGTGACTATAAAGCACATTCACACCAACAATATGTTTGTCCAGATTTTTTTGTTTCTCTATTAACAATGTCTCAAATGCTTAATTACTTAACAAGCAGTGGAGATTTGAATTTGACTTCAGAAAATGCAATTTGTTGTACTCTGTATGTTAAGATGAATGACACTGCCCTCTTAATTTCTCGAAATCTGATTGAGAGAAGATTAATATTAAAAATTAGTATCTCAGAAAATACAATACAAACTAAAATATTTAAATGTTAAACTAATATTTTTCAAGCACAATTTGTCTTAAATTATATAATGCATTACATAAGTCATTTTATCAAATCAACATTGAAAGCATTGTATTCTGTTGCAACATCTTGACACAACACAGAAAGTTGTGTTGTGAATTTTATTTTCAAGACATGATGATTTTTACTATAAAATTACTTGTTTTTCTGCATAATCAACAATTTTTATGTACCATAATTTCATGTTATTGGCCACATAATTTTAATTTTTGTCACATGAAAATCAGGGCCCTGATATATTAATTATTTACATATGAAAATATGAAATAAAGATTTGTCACTTATGTGACTTACATAAAGTCTTAACATACATTAGACATGAGATTATAAGCTGTGCCCATGATATTAATTTTTTTTTTTTTTTCACTACTCCCTTACTTATTTCTTGCCAACTAATTAGTAAATTAACTTACTACCTTCTTTAGTAAGCTTTCTTCATGTAATAGTGCCTCTAGCATGTCCAAAGATCCCATGACAGCATTTGACACTCATTATTTCTGAATTATCTGCTGATGACCTTTGTGAGTTACACATTATATGGATTTTCATAATGATAAAAGAGAGGAGGAAAGATTAAATTTCCTTCTCTTTCCCTCTGTCTCTCTTTCTTTCTCTCTCTCTCTCCATATATATATTACTATCTCTTCTTCCACCCCTTTTGCTGATCAGCTCAAAAATGGTTTCCTCTGCTACATCAGCAAGTACCTTTCTCATATTCTTCCATGACATTAGACATATCTGAGATGGGACACCCATTCTCAGTAGTTGTCTCATACCTCCATCCAGGTTGAGGAATATCCATGTTTTTGTTTTCTATTTTATTTTGGTGTTCTCATTGCACTGTCTTCAAGTTGTAAAGCCCCATTCTTGGGTCTTTCTTTTGGTTACCCTGCAACATACTATGAGGTTAGTTATCTTACTTTAAAAAGTAACTTTTCAATAGATAGATACTGTATATGTAACTCATCACCTTTTGTAATTTTTGTTCAAGTTTTAGAATAAGTAAGTTTAAATGAATATTTATGCATTTATTTTTGTATTGAAAACTATTAATAAATTCATTAAATAATTACTTTCTCTTCACAGGAGAATAATGATGAGTGCACTTCAGCTTTTGCTGTTGGTTTTACCAATAGCCTTGACATTAAAAGATGGACCTAATGTCTGTACAAGAGAAGAAATGTATGTTTTAAATTTGTTATTTTTTTATGCTTATATTTTCATATTTGTATATAAAATGTAATTATTTAAGTAAGTGTATTTTTTTTGTTACTTTCTCAGGTTAAAAAAATGGTTTTGAAAGTGCTAGAATAGATTTTAAATATTTGATGTTACAAGCATTAAGAGTTTGAGATCATAGATATAAACTTTTTATCTAGTAATTAATAACAGCCAGAATACAAAGATACACAGTATATTTATAATAAAAAATATATATATAAGATACTGAAAGTAAAGAATATTCTAGTTTGGCATGGACAAAATATCCATATTAAAGACCTTTATCAATTTTTATACAAGTAATAGCTATGTTTTCCATACACTTATTCCACATTTAAATAATTAAGCTTAACTCAACAAAAGTGAGTTATTTTAGTTATATGGTAATTAAATGGAGCCAAAAGGAATTTATAATAAAAAAATAACTTAGCATCCAATGAACACATCCACCATGAAGAAATATGTCTAAATTGCATTTAAGTTATCAAGTTGTCTGTGTACAAGTTTTCCAAGAGGTGTTATTTTGAACTTCTTAATGAAATAATTGTCCTAAAGACACTTTTATCCATTTATTGAATAGAATTTAAACAGTAGACTTTGATACTTATGAGACAAAGATAAAAATGTTTAGTTGAAAAGGAGTTAATTAATTACATCTTTGGTAGTATCTTGGTTAACAGGGAAAAATTCAAGGCATCAATATCTTTTTATTCAAATTTTAAAACAAGATAAGAGTTTAGTATACAGTTTAGAGGCTCAGCAGTAAATTCTTCAACAAACATATCATTAATTAAAAAATTTGAAATAGTTTTGATCATGGTTGGGCAACAGGTTTCTTTATTAATTTTTTATTTTTGCAAAGTGTAATAGTATTTACATTTTGGAAGTTAATTTCAATTTATTGTAAGCACTGTTGGAAACTAATTGAGTTTTTCTTCATTGCCATGCAGTTTTCATTACACATACATTTTACAAAACCATTCCTAACTGTAATAAGATAATTCTACCTTATTAACTGGATTATTTTAAATATTCTATTGAAGCCATATGGATTATACAATTGGTTTTTGTATGTGTGTGTGAATTTATAACTTTTTTCTAACCTGTAGCTTTTACCATTTTCATATTTTAATTAAAAATTTTCTTTATCAAAACTGTTTTTAGGGAATGTCCAACTAATATTGTAGGTATTTTTCATGAATTGAGTGTAGTTATAATTCATAAGTAACCTTATATGTGATTAAGTCTTTATGGCATTATAATTTATATGCTGTAGTATTTCTGATAATAGGGATGATTTTGTAGTAAAAGTTTATAATAGTATTCTGGGTATATTATTCTGTTGCCACAAGAATTGTATATGTTTGGATGCATATACAAAACTGTAGCATTTATGTTAGACATTTTGGTTCTAGAATTGATTACAAAAGCTTAATATTTGTAATATTTCAAATAAAAAAAATTTATAATTTGGTGTGATACTACTTTTTTAGGGTTACCAGTACTGTAAGGGTTTCATACAACAGACCTTATCAAATCCGTACTTTCACTTGGTGTTTAGCTTTTCCTCCCCGCTGTTCCAGATATAGGTAAGTTGAAAATTTTCCAATAGAGTTAATGATATACAGACAGTTGTTGTTTTTACTCTTCTGGTTTTCTTTTATAATTATTTCATTTTTGAAATTCACATTATTTTCCTTTTTTTCATACTAGATTTTCAGATGAACAACAGTAAAAGTATTCTAACAATTTTTTTTCATCACTCCCAAATGCTTTACCAAGTTGTGAACATATTTCTTTAATTCATTGATTTTCATTGCAATAAGCTCCCTGCTATTTTATGATACACTTACTCGCAATAAGCTCCCTGCTATTTTATGATACACTTACTCGCAATAAGCTCCCTGCTATTTTATGATACACTTACTTACAATAAGCTCCCGCTATTTTATGATACACTTACTCGCAATAAGCTCCCTGCTATTTTATGATACACTTACTCGCAATAAGTTCCCTGCTATTTTATGATACACTTACTCGCAATAAGTTCCCTGCTATTTTATGATACACTTACTTACAATAAGCTCCCTGCTATATATTTGTACACTTACTCACAATAAGCTCCCTGCTATATATTTGTACACTTACTTGCAATTAGATCCCATAGAATCACATCTTTTGTATGTTGATACATGTAATATTAAAATATTTAATATTTGATATTAGAAATATTAAAAAAGTCAAAATTTGCATTAGAAAGCTTGTTTTTCCTTACACCAGTTTCTCATTTTATTGCAAACTTAGATATTTTCATTGACAAGATGCCAAGAAACGTATAAGCTATATTTTTGTGTTAATTACCCTATAAATGTGAAAAGCTTTCCTTTACTTACTGAGTGAAACTATAAATGATATCTCATGATGATAGTTGTTTAATTAACCAACATTTGGGTATTTATTGAAATATTTTCTACTAAGTTCTCTTCTGTATATATTGCAAAAATAGCTTATGTGTCTTATAAGTTTACTTAAAAGAATGATATAAGTGAAAATAACGAAGCATTATTATATCCTCCTGCCACAGTTTTGACTAGTACATTGTGAATGTTGATCACCTGCCTGATTAATTTACTTTTAACAGCAAGCTTATTAAAACTTTTCATATCTAATAAAAAGAATTAAATAATTCATGATAAAGCATGTTGTATAATTTTAAAAGGAAGTGTGAATAAAAGTGCTTATAAAGATGTTGAGACACAATCTGCTAGAACTGTTCTTTCTCTCTCTCTTTGTCATATTAACCTTACATTAGTGGTGTAATTGTATGATGATAAAGAAAATAAATTTGAAATTTTCTTCTTCTTCTACAAAGTGAAGTTCAATTTATAAAGATCTTAATTTTGGTATATTGATATTTTACTGTATTTTCATAGTTTTGTTGGTTTTAGATTAAAGCTGGGAATGTTTTCAGCTGTGAAAATTTTTAAAAGGCTGAATTTGGTATTTGTAGAAGGCACTTTAAAAACAGAAATCTCAAAAATATAACAGAAAATTGGGGTTAAAGTTTGATCAAATCTATCTCACTGAAAACTTGGAGGTCTATGAGAATCAAAGATATGGTAAAGGTAGAAGTTAGCTGAGAATCTTTAAGAAGCCTAAAGATCAATTTAAAAAAGGTGTGAAAATGCTCTTGATTCAAGGGACCCTATTAGAATTGGTACAGATAAATAAGATTCATATCCTTGTCAATATGTATGTGTGTATGCGTATTGATGTTTTAGCAAAAATAATATTTTAGATCCTATTGCATCTTCGTGTCACGTATAACTGTTTTTGAACTCTGTAATACTTTAAGTATTGTATGGAATATTTCTATGTATCTTGAGATGACATTAAGTCATTACTAAATTGGGTGGGCTTATTATCACCTGTGAACCAAACTCGTAACTCACAAATTCTTTTGGATATGGTTTGTGTGTGTGTATATGTTTAATTTAGTTTACTTTATCTCCCCTCTAGGATTGGTTACACAAAAGGCTATAAGTTAGATACAAAATTGACCACAAAAACAGTGAATGTTTGTTGTAAAGGGTACATTCTTAATGGAGATGAGGACAGATGTATTTGTAAGTAAAGAGAGTTGTTTCTTTATTATTTAATATAAATGATAGTAATCAAACCTAAGTGTGACTTTTGTTGTCATTTAAGCATTTTCTAGTCTAATTTGAAAAGACAACATGAAATTTTTATTTATCATAGACACCATAAGAAAGAGAAATCACATCTGTACTGTAACTTTGAATTAATTATTACATAACATCATATTTTTGTTCTTGACATTTGTCTTCTCCATGCAGTTCCTGTCATTGAACAGTATAGATAGTTCAATTTCTGATTGTAAATATTTTGGTTGTCTTTTGATGGAGAAGAGGAACAATGAGTTAAGGAGAAAAACATAAACTTTTAAAAACTGATGTATGATTGATATAACCTCTCTTTTAATGACAGCTTTCTGTCACAATTCCTGTATTCATGGAGTTTGTGTAGCACCTGATACATGTGATTGTCAACCTGGCTGGGGTGGTGTCACTTGCAATGTTTGTAAGTTTTTTAAAACTTCTGTAATAAATTCTAACACTACATTTTATAACTATTTTGTTTGACTGAAATCCAGTTTTTCTGTAATTTCATACTTAATATAACTGAAGTATGTTTGGTGAATGTCATTATGCTTTCACTCACGTTACCATATTTCATTGATATAAAATTGTAAAACAGATTATCATTCAGTTGTGCAGAGCTTATTTTAACAATATTTTCTGTACTGTGTTTTAAGCGAGAAAATCAGTGTGCTGTATAAGACATAACAAAGTAGTATATCGAAATAAACTCTTGAAAACAACTTTTAATTTTTCTTTTCCTCCTTATTAGAGATATTTACAAACCACTTGTACTTAAATTCAAGAGGTGAACAAGTGTTTACGGAGAAAGAATATCACTGTTGTATATTATAAAGTACCACTTGGTGCTGAAGCATTTTAATTTATTCTTTTTAATTAACATTTTTTGACATTTGTTTTTAAAATGTTAATTTTTAGAATTAAAATATTTGCCATTCACTTTAATTGTGCTAAAAAAGATAATTAAATTAGTTATAAAGCATTTATGCATTTTGAATAATTATTAATATTGTCTTAGAAAGTGAATAAGAAAATCGTTTTTTTGTGAGCTATAAAAATTTGAAATTTGTTTTAAAATCTCAGTCTAAGCAGAATACATAATTGAGCTACAGGAGGTGTTACATGCATATGCTAATCATCTCTATGAATTGCATAGATTTTTTTACTATTATCCCCCCCCCAAAAAATATATAAAGTGGTTTGTTTCTTTGGATTTAAGCACAAAGCTACACAATGGGCTATCTGTGCTCTGCTCACCATGGGTATCAAAACCCTGTTTCTAGCATTGTAAGTCTGCAGACATACCGCTGTGCCACTGGGGGGCTTATAATAAAACTACAAATACTTTCTTTTATATTACCAGTACCTATATGTAGGAGTGTAGGTCTCTCACTACTTTTCCCACAATTAGCAATTTTTTACATCAGAAAATTTTATAAATAATGTTGGAAAAATACTAAACATCTAACAATTAATTAAAGAAATAAAATTTGACTAAGACTAGAAATACTTTTGAGTACAAATATAACATTTATTCAGTTTCTTTGTTTTTTTCTCTCAACATGCTGACCAGAGCAATGTACAATTGTAACTATTTATTTGGAATAAATTAATTCTAACTTATTTATTTGCCCCATTTCTCCAAGTGTTTTCTTCATTTGATAAAGGTTGGTATTCACTAAAACGAAGCATTTAAACTCAAGAAAATGTATCGGAAGAAACAGTGAATAAGTTTTTTAACACCTACTTAATCATTGGCATTTCTAATAAGGACGTTGAACATATTCATAATATTAATGCATTTCTAGTAAGATTGAATAAATAGGATATTATAGTAGCTTCAAATTTTGTAACTATATATTATTGTCTTCTTTATTTTAACTGCAGATATATATATATATATATATATTAATATTTGCTCTAGTGACTAATATATATATACGTAGATAAAATTGGTTGTACTATTAAATACATTTTAATTTGGTACCCATAACTAACCTTTTAATCCTTAACTCAAAATTGAGGATATTTTTCTTCATACTTATGGTACATGTAAGTATGAAATAAGAACTCTAATGAATATGATATGCGAGGTATATTGTGATTATATAAAAACATATTAAGATGAGTGAATTATTTTTTGGTATAATGTAAGATATTTTTATGTCTGTTGCTAGCATGTCCTGAAGGAAAATGGGGCCCTCTTTGTGAAAAGAACTGTGAATGTAAAAATAAAGCAAAATGTGATCCTGGGACTGGTGCATGCACGTGTAAGCCAGGTGTGTAATTGTTTTTATGATATGGCCATATTTAATGATATTTTTATTGTTAATACATATAGATAGAAATCCAGTTCAAAACCTGATTTAGAATTTTGCATAAAAATCTGTCAAAAATGTATGTATTTATAATGAATAAAAACCCTATAACCCGAGCACATTCTGTTTGTCCCTGAAGAAGAAAGGCCTACCTTTTGAAAGTGCTCGTGTTATAGTGTTTTTATTCATTTCTATCAAGACTTCTTGAACCCACGTGTTTTTTAACATCATATATGTTTTTATAATAATATTAACTGGAAAAGTTAAAGAGACTTAATCTGTAAATTTTGTAAAAGTTGCTGGGTTTACAAAGAAAAGAGCAACATCAACTAATTTAACATCTCAGCAAGGGATAGTAATATTTTTTTCTTTAATAATCACTCATTCATACGCAAAGCTGTAAGTCTGATAACACAGGCCTGCGAATTTAAACTTCATAAAAGTTGTTTTGGTTTTAATAACAGATTTTCCATAATTCAGCTACACAGATTTCGAAAATAATATTCATTTTTTTCTATCATTTAAGGACTTTTTACAAATTGAGAAGAAAAAAAACTCTTACTTAGATCAAATTATTATTTCTTTTACCACAATGAACATTTTTTATTATTATGTTTGTTAACAAAAAATACAAACAAACTGAAGAAAATGGAAGAACATTGATGTCAAACAAATATGTATCATTATGCATCCTGATATTTTTTTGTGAAATCTATGTCTTTTAGTCTCGAAACTATGTGTTGTGGTCTTTCTTATATGGCCAAGTGGTTAGGAAGCTCGACTTGAAATCTGTTTGTTGCACGTTCAAATCCCCATCCCACCAAACATGATCACCTTTTCAACTGTGGGGCATTATAATGTGAGAGTCAATCCCACTATTTGTTGGTAAAAGAGTAGCCCAAGAGTTGTTGGTAGGTGGTGTTGACTTGCTGCCTTTCCTTTAGTCTTTCACTGCTAAATTAGGGATGGCTAATGCAGATAGCTCTCGTGTAGCTTTGCATGAAATTCAAAACAAACAAACTAACTAACTTTCTTTTATGCATTGCATTATGAAATTTTGTGAAAAATCTGTACGTGATAGAGAAAAATGGATATCATTTTCGGATTCAGCATACAGGAATTACTGTAGAACATGTAAAAATATCAAGACAACAAACCATCGCAGGCTCGTGTAACTGATTAGGCATTGATTTCTGTAACCTGTATTAGGTGTGTTGGCAGTGTTCTAGCACATCATAAAAGTATACTGCACACCATTCTAACTTGT